TAAGCCACTGTAAATCATTTCAGAAAAAATAGCAAGAGGAATCCAAAATGTATAACTTTCACAAAGTATGTTTCTTCCTATTTTTTCAAGATTACCAAGTAATTTTTAATAATGTGGCTTTCTAAATGAAAATGATATTGTAGATAGCTAGGGGACCAAAATAGTATTTTTCAGAGCCAAAACAAAAATTTCCTATTATCCCACTATCCTTGTACATAGGCACATTTTCTAATCTTTTTTTTTAATATACACATACTGTTTTACGAGTAGTAGCATAATATCATTTATAACATTTTGTGTGCTGCCTTTTAACTTCATATGTTGTTATGGTTGATACACTGTCAATTTTAACTGAGTAACTCAGCAGTTCTACATTCTGGGGTGAAAAAGACGTACCCTTACCTCTCTAGGATGTTCATTGTGTCAACTTGAGAAGTTTAGGTTAACTAAGTGACTCAGTAGGGGGCCAGGGTCCTTACTTTGTATTCATCCTGAGCCTGTGCCAGAGAAAGGCAGGGAGATGGTGTGAGCCTGGATAGATAGCCTGCATACAACATAAGGGAGGAAAAGAGGCTTGCTTCCTCCCCGCTTTTTTTGCTCTTGTTGCTTTTGCTGTCTTCTGTCACCTTGGACTGCTTTCCCTCTGCCATGCCACCCTTCCTTGGAGCCAGCTGATTATGGACTGAAACCTCCACAAACTGTGAGCTACTAAATCCTTCCTTCCTTAATTTTGGGTGTCAGGTATTTTGTCAGCGCAGAGAGAAAAGTGATCAAGACACATGTGAACATTTTGCATGACAAGGAAAATTCTTCAGATTCATGATTAGATGACTACATAGTTCACCTTAGAAGTGTGTCATTGCAGTTAAACATCCCCTAGAATCATTCTTATTTCTGTTTCGTTTTATTTTTCTTCTGGTACCAGCAATCTAACTCATGACCTTGCGCTTGCCAGGCAGGTACTGTGCCACTGGGCTAAATCCGCAGCCCCTGAATCATTCTTATTTCTAAAGAATTTCTGGACCAATATTAACTCTTACCCCAAAGTTCCTCCTGCCTTTCTGATACCTACACCCTCAAACAAGCTTGTAATTGAGCAAAAGCTACCATCTCTTTTTCACAAGTGTTCCTGGATATGTGCTGTTCAGAGGACTTGTTAAAAGTTACCTCAACTGCAAGGGAACACCTTATTGACATTTGAAACTATTACAATAGACGAGCTTCATTATGCATTCATGGACACCACTGTCTTGATGAGGCAGATGTGTCTGGCAACAATAGCAGCAATGGAAAGACATTTCCATCAGTGGGAAATAACCATTGGTCTTTACCCTCAGATAAAATTCTAACAGCTCTGCCTTCATTTTCAAGCTTTGAAGTAAACAAAAGCCTGTTCTACATAAAGGTGAGGTACACACATGCTGATGACATGCTCTAATGATTGTTATTAGTAGTATATGTGGCCTAGTTGAAGGATATCAATTACAGGAGTTCAGATCTATGCTGTCCAGTCTGACTGCCACCAGCCACGTGTGTTCATTGAGCCCTCAAAAGTACAGCTAGTAGAGAAGAGATGTCAGCATATAAGTACACACCAGACATCAAAGACTTAGTACAACAAAGAGTGTACAGTATTTTATCAAATATTCTTTTATATTGATTACATATTAAGAGAGAATATGTTTGATATGTTAGGCTAAGAATACTGTATTATCAGCCTGACTTCACCTTTGTTTTTGTTTTTGTTTATTCTGGGGGAGTTTTTTTCTTTTAAATGCGAGCAAATGAGAAAATTTTAAGTTGCACGTGTAGTTCACATTATATTTCTGTTGAATAGCGCTGGTCTAGAAATTTAAATGTTAGTCCTGATACATACACTATCCTATTTCTGTATGAATTTGAAAACAACAATACAATATAGGGCAAGGGATATAAGTCACTCACTTAGTGCATGTGAAGCCCTGGATTCTATCCCCATCATTGCAAATATAAAGAGAAGGAGTGAGACAGAGGGAGGAGAAGAGAGAGAGAGGACAGTGTGTAGGTTGGATAGCTGCAACAGCATGCCCAAAGTAAGTGAAGAATTAAGTCTACTGTAATTTTTCTCAACATTAGTTCCCACTATAGGAAATATTGTAATTGCCTTTTAAGGTACATAAACTTTCACTCTACTCATGTCCCTCTCTGTCCACCTCACATACCCATCGGCAGCCTTCCTTGTGCACCTTAGGCAGACCTTGTCATCCTCAAATATATACTCGCTACTTAGTCTTGTAAATTTGACGATGTTGTTAAGCTTCCCCAGGGCATTTGTATTTTATACTTTCTTTTTAAATATAGTGTTTAAAGTATTGTTTGTTTGTTTGCACTGAGGGAATTTAAAGCATTAATAAGAAGTCATCCGTTATATCTCAGTTTAAAATTTGACATATGTTTATTTCACTATCAACAAATACCTTTAAATGTCCCATGTGTGGATGGAAAGGACACTGCGCACCCTTCAAGGTGACAGCTAAAAGATAGACTGATTGCTTTGCATTCTGCAGTTTTGAAGAAATAAATAGGTAGGTAGCCTGATGATTGAGGCAGGTATGTTTAGGTTGTAGATTTTTTTTGTGCAGGGGTCCTCAGAATTCAGAAAGAAGACCTGGCCCTGGATTATAAGAAAATGCAATAAGTTGCTGATTTCATGTCCTGAAATGATCAAATTCTATTTTAGTGCAAGAATCAAAGAAAATCAAAGAATTAGTCATGGAGCTCTAGTCCAATTAACTTATTCGTAGGAAGTGAATTTTAGTAATCCCCTGCTAAACAGTACACTCAGTAATATTTGATGGATAAAGTGGAACGTTGGCAAAAGTCCAAAGTTTAATCAGAACTCCCTGCCTAACGCTTAATCTTTTTTTAAAACAAGAATGGTGGCTTCTCACAGGATGAAATATGAATCTTGATTACCAGTGACACATGGAGATGGACTTGGTCTCTCTCCGTTACATGCCAGAGCATTTAATGCTGCATTTCCGCCTCAATTACTCAATGATAGTAGTAACAGCCACTCTTAGAAAACATGGTCTCAAAGGACTTGTATTGAAGGATACCTTCCTTTCTGTCCAGATTGAGCAGGTACAGCCATGTGTTAGCTCCTGTAGCACAGCTGCGAATCAAATAATTTGTTTGATGGTTCTCACTTTATTTTTGTTGGCAATTCAGGTCATCATTTTTATGACTTGAGTCATTTACTTCTAACTCCATGATAGAGTGATATGCAGGAGTGCTGTTCTCATGATATAAATTATTCACTAACTCATGTATCTGATTCTTCTCCACTCAATGTGGAAGGAGCCCTGGTCAGACAGGCTGGCTAGGACCTCTAAGGAATATGATCTGAGCTACACCTATTTCCTCTTGTGGATAAGAAAGAGACTGGTTGTATTTATTCTACTATTCTCTAGAGATAGTTTGTCAGTTAATTAATGATCATTTTTGTTAGGTAACCTTAGGACTGCCCTCAGCTTTGTTTGGTATGCAATGAAATATTTTAGAGGAGAAAACATGTGGACCATAGGTAGGACTCTAATTTTGGTGGGGCCACTCAGTCACGTTAAAGATTTCTGTGGAAAATGTGAGACCTAATTTGCCTATCCCTTTCTCTTTCCATCCACCCACCCAGTCAAAAATTTTTAGCCAGGAGTGGAAGCACACAGCTGTAATCCTAGCACTCAGCACTCAGAAACGGAGGCAGGAGGACCTTGTTGAGTTAGAGGCCAGCCTGGGCTACACTATGAGTTCAAAGCCAGCCTGAACTACATAGTTAGACCCTATCTCAAAAATATTTTTTTTAATATAGTAAAAGACACTCTCAGAATACTCCCGTTAGCTTCATACACACCTACCTCAGCATTCTTACTACATCCTGAAACAATTTTAGAGTTCCTCTCTCACGTATATCTTTATGAGGTATGATAAAAAAAAAAATTTGATGAATGCTGCTGCTGCGTGCCACCCAATGGAAAGGTCGCTTATAAAAACATGGTGTCGCCTCATCCTCCTTCTTCACTGGATCTGGCACTGTGTGACTTCTGGCTCTTCCCCAAAGTCAAAAGGACCATGAAAGATAAATGTTCTAAGCTGATTCAGAACTTCAAGGCAACCACAAGGGAACAATTAAAGATACTTTATAGAGAGTGAAAATAGTTAATAGTTTTTATTGGAAATCTCATGCATTGTCTGTAGTGTGGTTAATGCTTAATAAGTAAATATTAGTTGAATCCCCAACCCATCTGCTCTGTACCTGAATGGTTAAAGTATAAAATTCAAAGCAAGACACTTCAATTACTTATTCTTGAAATATCTTAAATATGATATGTCATTACTGAATACATTTGATTGCAGACCTTTACAGCTTGTATAATCTCTCTATATATAATAATGGAATTTTTCATAATAGCCCCAAACTATCAAAAGACTAAATTCTGCAAAAGAAGCAAGTACACAGAGACACAAAGCAGACCAGTAGTTGCCAGAGGATCTGGGGAGGAGAGCTAAAGGGATAGCGGGTGATTGCTAACGGATACAGGGCTCCTTTTGGAAGTGACAAAAATGTTCTGAAAATGATGTTACTGATGGTTGCACAACTCCTTGAATATGCTAAAACCCATTGAATTGTCCCCTTTAAATAGGTAAATTCTATGGTATGTAAATATAGCTCAATAAAACTGCCCCAAAGTAAACAGAATTTTGTAAGTATAGTATGCTCAAAGTAACATTTCTCTTAAGAGTTACTGGTGCACATCCTTTGCTGCAGGCGAAGGTAGCTAGTAACAGGAATGTAATTGGTCCAAAATTGAGGGCAAGTAGTGTTGTAAATGTGGTATCATTTCCCTTTTCTCATTGATTGCACAAAATCTTCATTTAAGTGAGAGGAGTAAACGGCATGTACAAATTCCGGCTCACTGAGTTAACAACCAATAGCGTTGATAGGTATAATTTTATTGTTTTAGGTCCTAAACCTAGTGCAGTCCTACGTGACCCTGCGAGTTCCTTTGTATGTTTCCTATGTGTTCCATTCCCCAGTTGGGGTAGGAGGCTGGCAGCATTTCGATCTGACGTCAGAGCTTCGTCTGACTTTTGTGTATGACACCGCCATCTTGTGGAATGACGGGATTGGCAGCCCACCGGAAGCTGAACTCCAAGGTGGGTCGAAAAGGAGTTTCGTACCTATTTGAAGGACTTAAGAGAATTTGTTTAATGTAGCTGAGAACAATAGAAGCAACTTGCAATATATTTTCCTATTCTATTTATTAATCAGCTAATTTCACTTTCGTTGTGGAAAAATTCTGGTTAGATGAAATTGTGTGGATGCCTCAAATTTGTGTAATATGTGATTGTTAAAATGTAACTTTATAAATTCCCTGAATATTTTTCTCTACCAGTTCACCCTAGATGATTAATCATGTGTGTGTCACACAACACAGTCTACCATCTGCATGCTTTCTAGCAAATGGATAGAGGAAATTCTGCTTGGAAATAAGGGATGAGAGCAAGGGGGAAAGTTACACATTTTTCTTTCTTAAAATGAAAGGTGTATGGTAAAATCTAATCTAAATTATGTCCTATATAGTAGTTCTGACTCTCCAGATAAGTAGCTGTGTGATCTCAAGCATATTGTTTAACCTTTCTGGTACTTTATTTTGAATGATAAACAAACCTTCAATATCTCTTTCCAGTTTAAAATTATGTTATTCTGTGATACTGTTGCCAAATGTCTGAATATACTGATCATTGAATTCTACTAACTGTGGAGCCCAAAGGCCCTACAAAATTTTGTTTCAATCTCCTTGTCAAAATTGTAATTCAAAGTCCACAAATTCAAAGCTAAAGGACTGGGATATAGCTCAGTGGCACAGCATATACCTGGCAAGCCCAGGGTCCTGAGTTTGATTCCCAGTACCAAAAAAAAAAAAAAGAAAAGAAAAGAAACTTTAAAGCTAATTAATCTATTAGTAAAATTAGTGCTTTCCCTTTCTAGCCTTATGTTACTGTTCTGTTTCCATGAATATCTATAGCATCATGCCAACTGTGTATTTACTAACAAGAAAGAAAATAGCTTGATAGCACATCTCAAATATAAATCTAGTAAGGAGCATGGGTGCAGGCCTGTAATCCCAGCACTTGGGAGGCTGAGGCAGGAGGATCGTTGTGAGTTCGAGACCAGCCTGGGCTACAAAGTGAGCTCAAGGCCAGCCTGGTCTGCATAGCGGGACCCTGTCTCGAAAAGACAAAAAAGAAAATCTGCAAGGTTTAAACAATCATTCCTGATTATGTTACTTATTTTAATTCCACATCTCACCTTAGAAGACATGTACATAAATGAATCCTAATGAGGACCTTTCTGTGGCTCTAAACGTTTGCTTTAGGACCTATGGTTTCCTTCATATATCTAGAGCTAAATTCTGCCTAAATATTAAATTTCCTAGAAAATTATTAGTTTTCTTTAAGCCTATAAAGTCTGCAATCATTAGGGAAAACTCAGGCCCAGTTCCACTTACAGGTCCAGATCTCTACAATTTTGACATGTCATTTGTATGTCTTTCAATTTATAGCTTCATAGTAGTAGACTAACGCTTTCAAAAAAAGAACAGCCTATTGCAGTTCATCTATGTATTTCACAGCGACCTCATTCATATTGTCCCCCTTTTAGACGTCTTTTTTCCTTAGAAAAAGAAAACAAAAGAGCTTCAGTCACTTTTATCATTCAGATTTTTTTCTCAAAAGATCATTTGCCTAGAATGCTTAAGGATGAAACAGATCTGAATTAACTTTTGAAGAGAATCTATACATTAGCAATCTGTAGTCACCTATATTTGCACCCTTATGCGCTATCCTTTTGTAGGTTCTCTCTACCCAACCAGCATGCGTATTGGTGAAGAGGGGCGCCTGGCTGTGCACTTTAAGACAGAAGCTCAATTCCATGGTTTGTTTGTGCTGTCACATCCGGGTAAGCCCCCTAGTCCGCTAATGGGCACTCCCAAAGCAACAAGCTCACAGTGTTTCCATTCTCACACGCTTTTCAACAGGCTTCTCTGTTACCTTTGAAGCCCTTCGTGTCAAATGAATTTTATATGTACAGTTATCTCCTTGAGAGGTTAATAATTATTTATCTACATCTCATCATCCACAAAATTACTTTTAGAGAAAATGCGAAATCACTGAGGACAAGTCAAAGGTTGAGTTCATGTAAGTAGAACACAGGGATGACAATTCCTTTCTCAGTTTTGCTTCCCTTGTACCAAAAAAGTGAATATCAAGTGATTAATTTAGCAAGCACTTCTCTGCTCACAGCTCTTTTCTAGGTTTTGTCAGGAACTTTTGTAATAGAAGTGGCACTCGACTTTATGCTGAAGTTTCAGTCCTACTAACTAGCTGTATTTAACAAGGACAGACTAGGGAGTTTTATTCACAGCGATGCAGTGTGCTTAGAATATTTTTTTTTTAAGTAGTCAATAAAGTCCCATGCTTGTCTGTTTGTTTTATACATTTCATTACAATATTTTATTTGAGTTTCTGTCTTATTAAACTGGTTTTCACCTTTTATTGGAGTGCCAACTTCTGTCGGATTAGGAAGGCAAAATAGTTCGTTTGCCATCTTTATATCCTTCCTTTTCCTGGGCGTGAGCTCTAAGGAAGGAGAGAATAGAGCTGAATAGTCAAGGAGAGAAAAAGAGTCCATTGCATTTTTATGAGATTGAGCTATAAGAAACACAGACCCGAAAGGAATCATTTTGCTTTATTGCAATGGACAATTCTGGAAAATGAGGATTTCCTGGTCTTTGCAGTCCCTTGTGCATGTCCACCTTTCTAATAAACTGAATCTTTGTTTAACTTCAATTGCAGGAAATCTAATTAAAATTAGCTTCCATTCAGAAATTGGGTTGGCCCAGCTGTGCGGATACTAATAGGCTATTTTAAGTTCAATTCATAGCTCTGATGCACAATAAATGCATTCACTTCTACCGCTGGTGCCCCGCTCAGACGCCCTGGAAAGTGGCCCTGAGCAAGTCAAGCATTTCTGTCCAATTACCTTTTGAAAGAGTTACAGAACAGGAAAGGCACTGAATCACTAATCCTATCTGTGTGAGCTTGGGAGAGTCACATATTGACTCCCAGCCTGGTTTCTTCCTCTGCCAAGCAAGGATAACTATGCCAACCTTGTTCACTTTGCAGATCTAGAAGAGTAAAAGCAAATGACATGTGATCAAGTGCTTTGAAAACTCTAAATGGTCCTGTGTTCTTTCACTTTAACCACCGTACTATCATGATTATTGCCACTTTTCTAGCATCCTTTACAAGCTCCGTGATCATGTCAGCTGACCATCCAGGCCTGACTTTTTCCCTCCGCCTTATAAGGAGTGAACCGACCTATAACCAGCCTGTACAGCAGTGGAGCTTTGTGTCTGACTTTGCAGTAAGTGATAAGCTCACTCATTTTTCCTTTTCTGCTGCCTGCTGATTGCTCTTGAGATTTTTAAGTGAAAATTATAAATGTTTTCCCCTCTCCTCCTCCAAGGTACGTGACTACTCAGGGACTTACACTGTAAAGCTGGTGCCATGTACCACACCTTCCAGTCAGGAGTACCGCCTGCCGGTCACCTGTAGCCCAAGAGAGCCTGTCACCTTTGATCTTGACATTCGATTCCAACAGGTGTGTCTCATAGAGTTCTTATCCATTGCTTATGGAACCCCACTTTGTGAAAGTCAGGGTTTACTTTGATCAGTAAATTTTTTACACACACAAAAGACTTAATTCTTGCATGCTGAGCAAAAAAGGAAGTCAGACAGGAAGTAAGGGAAGGAGGAAAGACTTGTCTTTTACCTGTGATAGTTCAGGATACAAAATCCATTAAGTTCTCTTATCTGATTGCAACTTTTGCTTCCTGCAGTTTGCTACCTTAGACAGGTGAAAGTTTTCCCCAGCATTCTCCTACACTTCTTTATCTTGTTCTTAATCCTCAAGGGTAATGAAAATCCTATAGTTTAAACCACCTTGAAGTACTTCACTACCATTAGGTGTTAAAAGAAACATAACGGTTCCTTTTCCAAGAACTATGCTAACTGTTGACTTCTGCTAATCATGGTATTTATGAGTTCTCGGTAGGCCACAAAAGCTAGTAGAAATGAATTCAAGCAATGCTCGTTAGTCCCATTCAAAAAAATTACTTAACTCCATCAATTTTGCCTTCCCAAAAAGGACACAATCAACCTTCGAGCTCACTAAGTTGGCTTGGTCAGACACGATATTTGCAGTGCAGTGTCTTTAGTAATGTCTATGTCAGTGTGCAGTGAATGCGTGTATCTGTGAATAGTTTGGGGCACACTTGTGTACCATCAGAACCATCAACCACACATAATGGGGCATTTCCCTTGGTTTTAGGTCAGTGATCCAGTGGCAGCTGAGTTTAGCTTGAACACCCAGATGTACCTACTCTCCAAGAAGAGTCTCTGGCTGTCTGATGGATCCATGGGATTCGGGCAAGAGAGTGATGTTGCTTTTGCAGAAGGTACCACTTTACAGATGCCTGGGCTGCTCATTTTGACCTGCGTAGCGGTGTTGCTTTCCTTTTTTGTGTGGCTGTATGTGAGGGAGAAATGTATAGCCTTTCCTGTGGTTCTGTCACCTTGAAATTGAATGAGGAGTCACTGAAATTAGGCATATGTTATTGGATGCATTTTTGTTTTGTTGTTTTATTTTGTTATTCTGGGGAAGCTAACCTCTATCTCTTTTACTTAAGTGACTTTTGGAACCCATTTGAGTTTTTTCCTTGAATTTTTTGGCTTACTTTTCAATTTTCATGGACTAAAATACCACAACTACATGAGATTGGAAATACTTCACAGGCAAAGATAATGCCTATTTTTTACTTGGTGTTTACTCAGCACCTAGCACCTGGATATTTTACTTAGCACACTCAAGATGTTCAGTAATAGCAGTGAAACACCTGCTTCATTATCAGGGCGCTTTATTAAAACCTTCTTTCAAACATAAGTAAAACAATTAGGCTTTCTTTTTTCTTTTTTGAGACAGGGTCTCGCTATGTAGTTCATGTTAGCCTTGAACTCACTATGTAGTCCAGCCTGGCCTCAAATTTGCTGCGACTTCCTCCTGCCTCAGTCTCCCAATTGCTGGACTCACAGGCATGTGCCACCATGCCTTGCTGCTAATTAAGCTTTTTATTGATATTTGCTAAGTGTTACTCTATATTGCGGTAGGTTACACCTCAACACCTAATTAATTTGTACACACTGGGCTTTAACCACAAAGGATATTATGCAGGTCAAATTATAGGCCAGACCCTGGGATTATTCCCAGTAGTGTCTGAACCTATGAGGAACCATAACTCTTCAGTCTTGCAGTCAGTGTGCAAAACGATTCTGTGTGGCCTGAGGAGTGGACCAGTTCCTGCAGTTAGCACAAAAAGCCCTTCCACATTTGATGACAGATGAGAGAGTAAAGAGCCTTTGCCATCACTGCCAAAACCTTTTACAGCGTCACACTGAGACACCCCATCATGTAACAGAAACAACATTTCCACATCTGTTTCAGGTGATATCATTTACGGTCGTGTCATGGTAGATCCCGTCCAGAATCTCGGTGACTCCTTCTACTGCAGCATAGAGAAGGTGTTCCTTTGCACTGGAGCTGATGGCTACGTTCCCAAATACAACCCAACCAATGAAGAGTACGGCTGCCTAGCGGACTCCTCTTCACTCTTGTATAGATTTAAAATTGTGGTAAGTGCTTTGACCTAAACAGTAAACTGCATACATCTTCATGGTCTACCCTTTTTTTCTTATGTTTTAAAACTGTAACATCATTTTAAATTAAAGCATCACGTAGTGAAATTTTGTGATAACTTTTGCTTGCACAAAACTAACAACAAAACATTCTGCCCTTAAAAAAGTGGCATTATCTGTAGCAATCATCATTTTCCTTATTGCTTAAAGGATAAGGCTCAGCCAGAGACACAAGCCACCAGTTTTGGAAATGTCCTGTTCAATGCCAAACTAGCAGCAGATGACCCTGAAGCTATTCTCCTAGTGAATCAACCTGGATCTGATGGATTTAAAGTTGACTCAACCCCACTCTTTCAGGTAGGCCCCCAAGCAAGCTCTCTTGTAATCACTGTGGAGCAACACTCCAGGTACCTAACATTTCTGTCTCAAATGTCACATAGCTAAATAGGGTTACAGTGCTATGACATATGGAAAATGGGAACATTTAATAAGATAATACATTCCATAAATTTTAGCTATTATTTTTTGTTGATATGCTAATATTATTTTAAGATCATATATAATGAAGGCTCTTATTCAGCCCAGAATATAAATATGATAGACTAGTACTTTGCTTTTCTTATTCAAAACTTCTCTCCTGGGCACTTTCTGTAACCATCTTTTAGTATGATTTGTATAAACTGATGAGTTCAAAACAGCAGTTTTGTACACCATATAAAATCTCCACTCCCTAAGATTTCATAAACCCAGGTAGAAAATCCTGCACCAGAGACAGGCAGTGAAAGTATATATAGGGCGTTCTACTGAGTGTAAAAACAATCAAGACATTTAGACATGTGCTTAGGTTGCGAATCCTTCAGGGAGAAAATGTACCCTTTTGGGATATTGTGGAAAATTATACAGATAAGATTTTACACAGGCAGGAAGAATGTGTTGTTCATATTCATCCTAGGAAAAGCATGGTAAGACGGCATACTTATTATTCTACATCTTCTCAAACAAGAAGTCTAAATGTGATTTTCTTTTTCATTTTTTCTCTTAATTCTTAAACATCTGACCTTTCTAAACCATGAAGGCTTCAGAGTCATCAGAAAATCCACCTTTTCCTAAAGCCCCAGAAAATCTTGAACACTCAGTCCCTCACCCATGATCTCACATGGGAATAAGCAAAAACACATAGGGAAGAAGAATCCTGAGGTTCACAAGGTTTGAGCTATCATCCTGCCTTTGCCACTGACTGGCTGAGTGAGCTTGAGCAAGGCACTGAACTGCTGTGTATTTTTATGTACTCATTTTTAAATGAATAAGCTAGATTGTGTCAGATCAAAACTTTCTATAACACGCAGGTTCTGTGACTGCAAATACCAAGTATTCACCGGTATTTACTCCCATAAGAGTTCTACAAGACATATAGTAGGGTGCTTTACATGAAGCCTTGAACAAACTACACACTGAAAAGTACTGAGTAAATTAATTCTGCAGAGGAAGTGATCTTTTTTTTGTTATCTCTGCCATTATTTTCTCTTGCACGTAGTTCTGAATTAGGTTAGCGTAGAACTTAATTTCCTAATACATAGGATTGTGTTTTCTAGGTGGCTCTGGGCCGGGAATGGTACATACACACCATTTACACAGTAAGATCAAAAGACAACACCAATCGAGGCATTGGCAAAAGAAGTGTGGAATCCCAGTACCACGCTCTTGCGCAGCACGGGAAGCCCCACGCAACTACCAAGAGCAGGAAGGAAAGGGAGATCAGGAGCACGCCCCCACTGGCGTGGGAAATTGGTGCTGAAAACAACCGAGGAACAAACATCCAGCACATTGCCCTGGACCGCACCACCAGGAGGCAGATCCCTCAAGAGAGAGTTCCTCCTAATGGTGTCCTGCCGCGGGAGCTCAACAGTCCCAGCTCCGAGCTCAGCCTGGTCACTGTTGGGGGAGGCGTTGCGGTGGGATTGCTCACCATCTGCCTCACTGTCATTGTGGCAGTGATGTGCAAGAGCAAGAAAAGTGCCAGTGGGAAGGACACCCCGAGGGGCTCAGGCATCAGCAAGCCCACCAGGTCCTCACAGATCCACTGTGGTGACAGCTCAGAGGTGTGATGACCACAGGTCAGAGTCACCCTTCTTCTGAAGTGCCTCAGACAAGACTAAAACAGAACCCCAGATGCTTCTGGTCCACAGCAGAAAATTGGGGACTTCTGTGATGCAGCTGCTCAGAGAACCCTTCTGGGCTAATATACTTTGATTTGAATTCTGTCTACTCTCTATGCATCAAAGGACAAATTCAGACCATGGCTTTCCTCTTCCCCGTGGGGCATCAACAGTGTACTCACACCTACACAGACAGAGCCATGGATGGATGGAAACATACTTCTTTTATGCACGTTCTCTACACACTGGAGATGAACCTGCTCAAAGGTGCTAAGAGACTCTCTCCGGAGCTTGAGAGGAGTCTATTGTTACCATGTTAGTGGGAACTTTGAAGGTACAATTATCACATTGTGTATTCATTTGTAACCTATGATTACTAGAAAGGTTTTAGTGGGTAGTCTGCAAGACTGATAAACACACACTGTTTATTCACTGTTTATTATGACAAGTTTTCTAATAGGTGAAGACAGCATAGAATTATGACCAGGGCTAACTGAAACCACAAATCACCTTTTCCACTATTTGGAAAAGAGAAGAAAGAAAGATAGAAATGAACTCACTTGCTTGGATTGGAACTGCTTTTCATCCTTCTCAAACCCTCTTTGTTTCATTTGCTATTTAATTTTAAATTAAGCCAAAGAATGTGTTAATTTTAGGAAAAAAAATTTATAAATAGAGCTCTTGCATGGCGATATACCTTACTGGTGCTCAACACTTGTGGGAAATGAGAGAATAGGTGACATTTTTATGACAAAGAAACAACGTAGAGTCAGATTCACTATAAGACGAAGTTCTGTAAGAACTGAGCCTAGAGATTTGCAGTATTGAACCCCATGAATGACACTGAGAAACATCTTTACAGATGCAGAAGGAAGACAGTGCTATTTATTAATATAATATGTATAACCAAAGTGACTTGTAGACATACTTTGTAGAATAAAAGAACATTTTGACAGGTGACAAATGAGGTTAGCTCTCAGAGTGGCAGAGGAAGACAAAAGCATCCAGAACTTAAATCGACTATAGGATATTTTATTAGATTTCTAATCACACCTGATCAAAACAGTAGAAATCTCTGCAGTGTCATTCCAGAAATGGTCTTCCAGGTGACCAGCCTGATGAGCACATTCTTCTTCCATCTAAGAAGAAAGCATCATTCTCTGGTGTGCCCAGTTCGTGAGTCAGGGCTATGAGGTCCCTCTTCCTCCCTAAACATAATTTGTCAGCACTACTAGTCATTCACCTTACAAAACCAAGAAACTGGCGTGAGGGTCATCAGCAAGTCCCTCTTGCCTATCTGCACAATTTTTTTTTTAAAATCAAATGGTGGAAATTGTGGTGGAGAAGTAAAAACTTCAGTAGTTTTGTGACTAATCTTCCAAAAGCTATTAAATATATTTCAGACAAAAATAAGGTTGGGACAAAAAGAGCGAGGTCTAAAGATAAGCCCTCAAGGTGCTACCTGGAATTTCTTCCCATTCCCAGTCTCATACTGACTGGACGTCCTGGTGGAAGGGAGGTCTTTGGAAGGCAAATGCCTCCTCATGCAAAGGGGCACATTATGCTTAGCATCTGTAAGCACCAGCCAGCTCTTGATTGAGAAAAGGAAGCCGTACTGGTACAGGAAGAAAGTGAAACATGTCTAATATTTGCCTCCTCATCTTTTAGGCAACTCTGCATTTCACATTCAAAGTCTTATAATGAATAAAGTAGAATCTTCTGTAGTATCTTCTGTTGGGCCGTATACAAATATCACCTACATCTCAAAGATTCCCCCCAAGAAGCTATGTAAACAGATAGTACTGTAAGCCCAGGAGTTCATTCATCAAAATAAATAATAACATGTTCATAATGATCTCCCTTTCTTTTGCTTTATCTTCTGGCAGATGCTTAGCTACATTTTTGGCTACCTCATAATTTGCATGGGAATTAACATGAATTCAGCAGCTTCAAATTGTGCATGGGCTTTTTATATTTAACACTGGGTTCAACTAACAAAAAATTAGAGCAAGAATTCTCAAGCAACTTTCTGACACTTGAGAGTTGAACAGTTCACAGCTGGACTATCTTCAGGTCTCTGTCAAATAAAGCATCATTATGACCAGTCTGTTTTGAATTTTTCAGCCAGGATAGCTCTATACCAAATTTCACTCTACAATTTGTTGTTTATTTATTTTTTTTTTTTTTTTTTTTTTTGGTACCGGGAATCAAACTCAGGACCTTGTGCTTGCCAGGCAGGTGCTTGTGCCTCTGAGCTATATCCCCAGCCCTACAATTTATTATTCAATGGGGTTTTCATCTATAAATTGGAAAGATTATTAGAAAGAGAGGGTCTGTAGGAAATAGGCCAACACAGCTCTTGTAAGTCAAAATTACTTGGATTTTCCTTCATTAAAAAAAATCTATTTACTAAATATCTGATTTATACCATACGTTAAAACTTCTTTCTGCAGGAAAAATGAAGACCTTTTTTTGTTAAGTAAAACAGATCCTTATTTTCAAGAGTTTGTTTTTAGAGAGCTGTTTTGGTATTATCAGAATGAATACATAAAATAACTTACTTGAGAAGAGGATGTAAGCAGCAATAAATAGCTCCTTACTTACTCAGTGCCTCTTGGCCCCAATCAAGATCTTGTGGGTATTAAACAGCAAAACCATAAAAGAAAGTAACTGTTACAATTCATACTTGTATCTCCTAAGTATATGAACCATGAAGCATTAAAACGCATAAATAAAGTGTAATGATGGCTTCATATATTCCTGTCCATTCCCGTGATTGACATTAACTGAAGGCTCACCTAGGATTGATCAGCCATTCTGAGAAATTCCACAGAAAGGCAGCTACTTTCCCTGTCCTCGGTGAGGTTATAATCACCTGAGGCTCTTTCTTGGGCCTGACGTCAGGCCTTGCTCCAGGTTCTCCTCTGGACTGAGCACACATCATACCTATCTGTGAAACACACTTTAAAAATCTCTCCAGAGCACCAATAGTACAGTCCTCTCTCTGCCTCTACAAAACCCCCATCTGTTATAAATCATTCTGATCACAGATCAAGTACAAAATATTTCCAGCCATAAATTTGATGCGATTGACCATGAACCCCTGCAGAGGAAATGCACTGTCATACCTGGATAGCCCCTGCATTTCTCTTTTCCTCTTAGTGGATGATAGAAGTAAAGTGCATTCCGTTTGTAAGTTTAATATGTTTCCTTAAGATATTTCCTAGAATTAATCCTAATATTGCAAAGCAGTACTCTCGGGAAATGTTACCCGTAGGTTAAGGACAGGTAAGCCCTGTCTACTTTTTCCCTTTTCCATATCCTTTCATTTTAAGTAATGGAGGACTTTGAGGTTTCAGTAGCTGCTTTGTTCTGATAAGAAACTTTAAAATGGAACATAATATTTTCTTTTGCTTTCCACCAAAAAGACCACATAGAATTTTTTACAAAAATATTTTGAGACAGAGTCTTACTATGTAGCCCAACCTGGCCTCTAAATCAAGGTAATTCTCCTGCCTCAGCCCTCCCAAGTGCTGGGGGTTATAGGCATGTATCACCACTCCCAACCAGAATTTTTTTAAATAACAAAAGACTGAGTCTCTTAAACTCTCTTAATTTTCTAAAATCTCTTCAACAAAAAGTGATAAAACAAAATGTACAGCCCAGAATATAGCTCATTGGCACAAGTGCCTGCCTGGCAAGTGCAAGGTCCTGAGTTTGATTGCCAGTACCAAAAAAAATATAATGTACTAACCCTCTCTTCTGGTTTAACTTTATTGGGAGAAAGTCAGAATGTTCAATTTGCAAACCTTAAATCATTTCGCTTTCTTTCCTGTCTTTCAAATGCATTTAATTTCTTTCTCCTGATATCTGTTCTGTGCATTTTTCTAATATTGTTTTACTAAAGAACAATAAGAACAAACAAAAAACTATCCTAACAGTAACATCTACTTTACTTTCTCTTTTCTCTCTCTCTCTTTCTTTTACTTAGTGTACTAAAGTTTTCTTTTTCAGCTATTTGTTTGTCATTCTTCTAGTTAATGCTTCCCGTTACCACTTTCACTGTATAGTCAGCATCCTCATTCCTCTGAAAGCTGGGACATCCACACACAGTTGTGCATAAATCCCTTCTGTACAAACTGTGAAAGCTCTGTGGTGAGAGAAAAAACTCTTCCTGCCAAAAATCAAAAGCATCATATTGAACAGTAATGTGTACCTTGACTTTTCTCTCAACAGAAGTTCAATCTTGTCATTTAAGATGTAAAACCCCCTTTAAAGATATCATTGTATAAGAACGAAAAGCCAAAGATTATATACCTTTAGCTCTTTAGGATGACTGAGTACTTTGCAATGAAATGAGCAGCCAAAAACCTTGCTATCATGCCAACAGCATCCATATTTTAAAATTATAATTATTAAACTCATGATGTTCCTTTACTATCAGCTGGATGGTGCACTCATTAATTACATGATCGCTTAAACACAGAAGGTAAATTTCGACTATGGACTGTTGTGTTTTCCAGTGTTTTAATCATCCTCTCACATAAGAATCATCAGTCTTCTGCCTTAAAAGGAAATCATGTGAAATTTGGAAAACTAAAAATAAAGAGAATTATAGTAAAAGTAATTAAAATATAGAAAGGTAGTCACTGGTAAGAATCAAAGACCATTTCTGTAAGGCCAGAATAAAGCACATTACAAAAAGTAGTACAAAACAGTCTTTCTCTGTGACTTGAATTCAAGTTTTTGGCAAGATATTTTTAAAACCCATTTGTGTATTACAGAAAACTTTATCCTGGACATAGAGCTGTGTATTTTATAATTGCATTAAGTGCTTCCTTCCTTCTCAAGTGCTCTGCATAACACTTAGTAACTTTATATGTTTGTCTAGCAACTGAGTAACACATCTATGTGTAGTGGAATTATTTGTAGAACTTAATAACTTGTACTAATTTTTCATGGAAGTTCTTCAAAAGCAAATGGGTTCTAGTTTATTTCATGTGTTTGCTAAGTAACTGCACATTTTCTAGGTATTCAAGTTTATTCCTAGCAATCTAATGAATGCAAATAATTGGGAATCATTTGGCCTTAAATCCATGTCTAAAGGAACTGTTGCTACCACTTATTTCATAACTACATGGTTTTTCTTCAAAGTTTATCACTTGTTTAATATAAATAAAGCCCATATAAATGTATGTTCAAATGGCCAAGTTATTGTGGTATTTTCTGTAACTTTTATCTATGCTAAAATCATAGAACTCCTGGACTCTGCACTGGATGTCAGTTTTTTTCATTGTGGTTCTGGAGTCATGAGCGTGTGCAGGCTCCTGGATGGGGACATGTGCACACTCCCTATACCACCCCACTTCTGGTAGTAAACGTTTGCTGATCCTTAGCAAGACATACTCAGAAGATCCTGGTGCCTGCCCTACCAAATCATACAGGACAGAAATTCAGGACAATTTGTGGACTTCATAAGATTTATAAAGGGTGTCCATAAAGCTAATACCTGCTGAGAGCAATATGTATATAAGGGAAGCAGCATATCTGGGTGACTAATTCTTTGTCCCAGGGAACAGACAAATACACTCTACTGTAGTTAGGAAACCCTGCTGAGCTTCACTCCTGACAGTGAATCAACCCTCTAGTTTTTGCTGCCAACATGGACCAAGTACCCCTATGGAAACTCTGTCCATTTTAATGATCATCTGATATAAATCTTCTTACAATATTAAGGGATAATACAAATAAAAGGGGGAAATACCAAAAAAAAAGAAGGAGAAGTGGAAGAAAAAGGCCACTTATGTCAAAGCTCTTTCATAATTTCCAAGACGAGGGGAGAGAGATGACCGTATGGTAGAAGAAAGATTCTGATCAGCAATGGTAATGTGCAGAAGAAAAGCAACTGGCCTGTATGGTAGGAAATTTGTGCACAAGAGGGAAAGCCTGGCTTTCAGGAAGTCTTGGTAGGGGCTGGGGATTTAGCTCAGTGGCAAAAGCACCTGCCTGGCAAGCGCAAGATTGTGAGTTCAGTTCCAGGTACCAGAGGGGAAAAAAAAAAAAAAGAAATCTAAAAAAAAAAAGGAAGTCTCCAGGAGCTGTGTGCACTGAATCAAGAAGCTAAGAGCAGCATTTTAAGGAAAATCTGGAATGAATGAATTTTTTAAATAAAGCACAGTGTAGACTCCTTTTGTCTTGCCAAATTCTAATTAATTATAAATTCTTAACACAAAGAATAAAATGTTCAAATGTCCAAAAGACTATCAGAAAAGATTTTCAGTAATTTCACATTCTACTTAACACCAAGAAGTAATCATATTTACTGCAATTAACCTTTTTCTCCACAATCTGCTAGTGAATTGGTTTTCTTTAATTTTCAGGGTCCCCTAACTCCTAACCCCTCTCCTGTTCCCACCACCAAATGGAGAGACAGGCAAATAGATGTACACACAGCCAAGCTTAGTGAGCATAACTTGGCCTCTGCTTCTCACCCTTTTTTGTTTTTTTGAGACAGGGTCTCACCATGTAGTTCAAGCTGACCTTGAACCCATTACGTACTCCAGGCTGGCTTCAAACTCATGGCGATCCTCCTGCCTCAGCCTCCCAAGTGCTTTTATTACAGGTGTGCTCCACCACACCTGGCTGCTTCTCACGTTTGAAGTGCCTGTCTTCCTTTTACGCCTAAGCTGATTGATAAGGATATCATCTTTTTTTTTATTTATAGCAAGGAAAAAGGATTTAGATTTTTATTTTCTTTTGGTTTTTATTCTCTTTCTAACACAGATGTTATAAAGTTGCAAGCAATCAAAAAGTCACATTGGTAAAAAAAATTTCTCATGATGTCAAAGAGAACTT